AGGGGAGGAGGACCCTGGCAGGTCAGGCAGGTCATGGGCCTCGCGCGCCAGGCGGCGGACGGGGAGAGGGGCGCGCGGCGCCTGCCCCGAAGCCCCCCCGGCGCCCCGGGCGGAGGTCGGCAAGGGCATGGTGAAGTCGATGGCGGAGTCGCTGAGCACACCGTACATGGCGCTCGGGGAGGAGCCCCTGTCTGGCCGCGGGCCGGCGACGAGCTCCGCCTCCCCTGCGCGACCATCGCACGGCGCGACGGGCGGGGGGACCGCACCGAGGGCCCAGAAACGCGGAGCGGGGATGCGGTTTCGGGTTCCGATGCGGATTGCGATTTCTCAACGGGGACTCCTGCCGACTTGGCTGTCGATTTCCGTCCGTCTGACTTGGTTCGATCGCCGATCCGACTTGTCGGCTCGATTCTGGGATCTCCGGCTCTGCCGCCCCCCCCCTGGTCCGCGCACGCACCTATGATGCGTTGACCCTCCTCTTTTCTGGCCCCCCTCGTCGACACATCCGAGTGAAGGAGCGAGGACCCAAGTGACTGCCGACCCCAGCCGCTGATCGGGGAAGGGGAGAAGGAGGGGAAGAAGGCAGCTGGAGTAAGGGAATGGATCGATGCTGCGGAATATGGAATATCGAGTATGTACGATCGAGGAGGAGGATCGAGGAGGAAATATACACCATCGAGGAGAAGTTTGAGCAGGATCGAGGAAGAGGAGGATCGAGGAGGATCAAGTATCGAGGATGGAAGAGGAGGAAGCGGAGAATCGTTCCTCATCCTATTCTCCCTCGGTCCTCGGTCCTCCTCCTCGTCCTCCTCCTCTGCAATCCTGCTCCATCTCCTTCTCGATCCTCCACCTCCTCCTGGATCCTCCACCTCCTCGATCCTCCTCCACCTCATCGGTCCTCCTCCTCCTCCTCCTCCTCCTCCTCCTCCTCCTCCTCCTCCTCGATGCCTACCTGCCCCCTCCTACCTTCCCCTCCCCTCCCTCCCCGATCCTCGATCCCCCCTCCCCAGCCCAGCGCTCGCCGACCCGACCTGGCGGGGGCTCCGCCGAGGGGGCGCGCTCCTCGGTCCGGGCGCCGGGAAGCCCAGCTGCGTGAGCGGATCTGTTGGCATCCCCCGCGCCGTTCGGCCCCC